TGGGTGAGAATAGTTACCCGTATGTACCATTGTGTGAGGAATAGTACCCATATGTGCCATTGTGTGAGGAATAGTACCCGTATGTACCATTGTGTGAGGAATAGTACCCATATGTGCCATTGTGTTGAGGAATAGTACCCATATGTGCCATTGGGTGAGGAATAGTACCCACATATGCCGTTGGGTGAGAGTAGTACCCATATGTGCCATTGTGTGAGGAATAGTACCCAGATGTGCCATTGTGTGAGAATAGTACCTGTATGTACCATTGTATGAGGAATAGTACCCATATGTGCCATTGTGTGAGGAATAGTACCCAGATGTGCCATTGTGTGAAGAATAGTACCTGTATGTACCATTGTATGAGGAATAGTACCCATATGTGCCATTGTGTGAGGAATAGTACCCATATGTGCCATTGTGTGAAGAATAGTACCATATGTGCCATTGTGTGAGGAATAGTACCCACATGTGCCATTGGGTGAGAATAGTACCCGTATGTACCATTGTGTGAGGAATAGTACCCATATGTGCCATTGTGTGAGGAATAGTACCCGTATGTACCATTGTGTGAGGAATAGTACCCATATGTGCCATTGTGTGAGGAATAGTACCCATATGTGCCATTGTGTGAGGAATAGTACCCACATATGCCGTTGGGTGAGAGTAGTACCCATATGTGCCATTGTGTGAGGAATAGTACCCATATGTGCCATCGTGTGAGGAATAGTACCCATATGTGCCATTGGGTGACGAATAGTACCCACATGTGCCATTGTGTGAGAATAGTACCCATATGTGGTGCCGTTGTGTGAAGAATAGTACCCATATGTACCATTGTGTGAGGAATAGTACCCACATGTACCATTGTGTGAGAATAGTACCTGTATGTACCATTGTATGAGGAATAGTACCCATATATGCCATTGTGTGAGGAATAGTACCCATATGTGCCATTGTGTGAGGAATAGTACCATATGTGCCATTGTGTGAGGAATAGTACCCACATGTGCCATTGGGTGAGAATAGTACCCGTATGTACCATTGTGTGAGGAATAGTACCCATATGTATCACAGGGTTCTCCCCAGGGCTTTTTAGCGCCGAGGTCCGCGGCGCTATACCTGTGAATCTCGGCGCTTCACTTGGGACCTCGGCGCTATGTTCCCACCTCGGCGCTTGATTTCATATTTGACATGCCAATATCAGATGTGAAAAAGCTTTGTTCGCCACGCCGGTCGGCCCCGACCGTCACTCAAAATTAGTGACCACCACGGAAATGCTTCCGACGAGGACTATTGTCTGATTGTTGGTATAATTACGTACCGACCGACACGCATCCTGCCAGTCGTGGATTATAATTTATAAACAATAGACCTAGTCGCACGATACGTAGCGGCTAGTCAAATTTGTAGAATTAGCACCTCTTTGTTTGTAAGTAAATACTTTCTGCGATAGACACAGTCTTTAGATTGAAAGCTAAAATTATTTCAAAATCAATTCCACCTCGATATAACATGGTCAAATTGGAGTTCACGATC